TCACTATCTGCTGAAATTGATAAAGTTAAAGACCTCTTGAACAAAGAACAAACTGTTTTAAAACTTTGGGCTAAATCTCACAAAAATGCTAATTATGTTATTTCTGCTCAAATGCCTCATTCATGTGACAAAATCGTTGGGGGAAATTTTGTTGAAGCTGAAAGGTTCTTAAATCTCAAGAAAAGGAATCTGAATTTTATTCCATAAATGAATTAAAAGATAGTTTCAAAAACACATTTATCAGCAACACCTTTATTAATCAGAGATCATTGATAAACACTGTGTTACTGACTCTAATGGTGTTACTGAGTGTAATATTGAAATTACCGGAATTGATCCTACTTCTTACCCTGCACATCTTGTGAGAGCAACTCCTCTCACTGAAAATATTATCACATTTCCTATCTCAAACGGAGTGTTTCATGCTGTTCATGAACAACTTAAACAATATCCTGATTGCAGTGTTTCAGTACATAAGTCTAAATCTGAGACTAATGTCAGCTCCTCATCCATCACTGATTGTAATTCTTTTGACGCTGAATTCTTTAGTAATTCAATGTTAAATAAAAGGACTCAAAGTTCACTTGGTGAATCTTTCAAATATAAATGTATTAAATCTAGAAATGTGTTTACCAAGAAAAACTTTGGTACTAGAATTTGCTACAGGTGTGGTGACTTGACTCACAAAATCAGTGAATGGAAGTTTGATAAAACATCATTAAGAGCTGATAACATCAAAGTTAGAAATGAAAAATGGACTCTTAAATCAAATTCTTTAAACTGTCTTCCTAAAGAGTGCTATAATATATTGTCAAATAACTTTGTGAATGACCCATCTTCCAATTGGTCAGTGTGTTCTAACTAGTTTCTCAGCACTGCAGGGTCAGGAGCATCTTTGGTACTTAGATAGTGGTTGCTCAAGACATATGACAGGATCCAAGTCTCTCTTGGAAGACTATGTCAAGAAAACTGGTCCTGCAGTAACATACAGAGACAATGGAAAGGGGTTCACTAAAGGATATGGAAATATCAAGTGCAATAATGTGGTGTTTCAGAATGTTTCATATGTAAAGGGTCTCAAACACAATCTCATCTCAATCAGCCAATTGTGTGATGCTGATTATGAAGTTCACTTTACAGAAAAGGAAGGAAGAGTTGTTAACACTAACAAGAACATTGTACTCTCAGCAAGTAGAAAAGATGATATATATGTTCTTGACATGTTCTCAAGTGAAAAGGCCCTGATGCAATGTTTCTTTTCAAAGTCTCAAACCAATCTCAGTTGGATTTGGCACAAAAGGTTCTCTCATTTGAACTTTAAGAGTCTATCCAAAATATCCAATCAAGATCTAGTTAGAGGTCTCCCAAAACTCAGCTTTGTCAAAGACAAGTGCTCAATGTGTGAACAAGGAAAACAAACCAAGTCATCATTCAAACCCAAGTCATGTTCTAGCATATCTGTTCCTCTTCATTTACTACACATGGACTTGTTTGGACCTATTCCTGTTCGTTCCCAAGGAGAAAATAAATATACTCTAGTGGTTGTGAATAAGTTTACTCGATTTACATTGGTGGTTTTCTTGAAAAAGAAAAGTCATGATGCACAGGAAATTATCTCGCTGATTCGCAAAAATGAGACACTGGTCTCAAAGTTAAGCAGCTAAGCAGTGATCATGGCAGTGAGTTCCGAAATTCAACTCTTGAAGAATTTTATGATTATAAAGGCATTGGGCAGAACTTTTCAGCTCCTCGCACACCTCAACAAAATGGAGTTGTTGAACGAAGAAATCGAACACTGATTGAGGCAGGAAGGACCTTAATGATTCATGGTCGTCTTCCTATGTCGTTTTGGGCTAAAGCTGTTAATACAACATGTTATACTCAGAATCGATCTCTAATTCACAGGATTCACAAGAAGACACCATATGAGATGCTGAAAGGTCGAAAACCGGACGTATCCTTCTTTCACGTGTTTGGATGCATTTGTTATATTCTTAATCAGCACAATCCAAGATCAAAATTTGAGCCTAAGGCTGTCAAAGGTATTTTTGTTAGATACTCATCTATTTCAAAAGCTTTTTGTGTTTTTCATGTGAACAGGCAGTGCATTGAATAATCCATTCATGTGAAGTTTGATGAGGAATCATATAATGATGAAAAAGTAGCTCATTCTTCCTCTATTTTTCAAGAGCTTCTCTCTTGCCCATATGATGAAGTTTCTCACACTAAAGAAGAAGCTACTATTCCTGATCCTATCATTCCAGATCCAAATTCCTTGAATCAAGATACTGCGGTCAGCTCAACAACTCATTTGTCTGATGCTGATGAAACTATTGAGAATGAAGACTCTCCTGCAACTGATGTTCCCTTCAGCAATAACACTTCAGAGTCAAATCTAGTGGAATAAGCTTTTGGACATCGAGATCACCCTGTTGATCAAATTATTGGGAATCTTCATGATGGTGTCCGAACAAGATCTCGTGTATCTAATAACTTTTACATGTACGTTAATTTCATTTCAATGATTTTACCTGACAAGATACACTCAGCTCTTCAAGACACTGACTGGATTAAGGCCATGCAAGATGAGCTGAACGAGTTCGAACGGCACAAGGTTTGGACGCTTGTTCCCAGACCATCAGGAAAGACCATCACCAGAACATGTTGGGTCTACCGCAACAAGGTTGATAAAGATGGTATTATTACTCGCAATAGAGCAAGACTTGTTGCTCAGGGGTTCACTCAAATTGAATCCATCGACTAAAGGGAGACTTTTGCTCCAATTGCCCGCATTGAAGCAATCAGACTGTTTCTCGCATACGCTTCATACATGAACTTCATTGTCTACCAAATGGATGTCCAAACGACATTTCTTCATGGTGAGTTACAAGAAGAAGTATTTCTCAAACAGCCCCTAGGCTTTGAAGACTAACAACACCCTGACTATGTGTACCGACTAGATAAAGCTGTATATGGACTGAAGCAAGCTCCCAGGGCCTGGTATGAGACACTGACATCATATCTTCTTGAAAATGGCTACAGAAGAGGACCAATTGACAATACTCTCTTCATCAAACAGAAAGGCTCATAAATGATTCTTGTTCAAATCTATGTCGATGACATCATCTTTGGATCTCCAAATGAGAAGCTGAGCAAAGAATTCGCTGAGATCATGTCTCAAAGGTTAGAAATGAGCATGATGGGGAAGATGACTTTCTTCTTAGGTCTTGAGGTTCAGCAAAAAAAATCAGGTATTTCAATTTGTGAAAGTAAATACATTGCTGACATAGTAGTTTTGTATTCTCTCAGCGACTGCAAACCAGCTTCTACTCCGGTGTCCAAGACTGATAAGCTACACGCTGATCCCACCGGCACTGACGTTAATCACTCTATTTATCGAGGAATGATTGGATCTCTTCTCTACCTCACTGCAAGTCGTCCGAATATCATGTTTGGAACCATTCTCTGTGCTAGATTCCAAGCTAATCCCAAGGAATCTCATCTCATTGCAGTCAAACGCATCTTTCGATACTGAAAGGCCACTCAGAACTTGGCACTGTGGTACCCTCGTGACTCAGCGCTTGAACTCTTTGGATACACTGATTCCGACTATGTAGGTTACAACTTAGACAAGAAGAGCACGTCAGGTGGATGTCATTTCCTTGGAAATCGACTAATCAGTTGGTCCAGCAAGAAACAAACCTCAATAGCTATCTCCACTGCAGAAGCTAAGTATGTTGCTGCTGGACGATGTTGTGCTCAAATCTTATGGATTCAAAATCAACTTTTAGACTATGGGCTTAAATTCACAAAGACTCCTATATTCTGTGATAACACCAGTGCCATTCAGATCACACAAAATCCGGTTCAGCACTCAAAGACAAAGCGTATAGAGATCATACATCACTTCATCAGAGACAATGTTGAGAAGGGTAGGGTTGTTTTAACACATGTCAAGACTTCCGATCAACTAGCTGACATTTTCACCAAGGCCCTGGATACTCAAACTAATGCTCACATCGTTGGCGAACTTGGAATGATCACTCTCGATTGAAAAATTGTTTTACTAATGTTTTCTATTGTATTATACACTAATGTTTTTTTTGTGCTGATGATGATGCGCTGATGATGTTTAGCATGTTGAGTACATTGTATGATCTCTTATCTCTCTCTCTCTCTTCTACAAATCTTCTAAACTAAAGTTGAATGATTCATTGTATTAAACAATACACTGATAACAACTTGAAACTCTTTGCCGATCGTTAGACAAAACACCAAGTTCTATCACACGCAACTATCCACTCTTACCAATCTTACACTGATTCTGTGATTCGGTGTGACAAAACACATACTGATGAGAATCTAAAAATCTTTGCCGATGGTTAGACAAAACACCAAGTTCTATCACATGTAACTATCCCCTCATACCAATCTTACACTGATTCAGTGATTCAGCATAACAAGACACATGTTGATGAGAATCTAACAGTCTTTGCCGATGGTTAGACCAAAACACCAAGGTCTATCACACGCAACAATCCTCTCTTCACCTTCTTCTCACTTAGTGTCTAATGATTCAGTAAGAAATACCACTCACTGATAAAGACTCGACACTCTGTGCTGATGGTTAGATAATTAAACTAGTATCTATCACACGCACCAATCACCTTGCTAACCCTAAACAAGCAAGTTGTACCTTGAATTTAAGACAAACTATCTTTCAGCATGTAACTTTTGGTGATAACAATCTCAGCGCTTCCGCAGTCACTGATTTTTGTTTCCTCTTCGGTACAACGACTCTATTTACCCAACGGCTATTTTTTAATTTGACAGTCTATCAAGATACGCAGTTATTTTCGATGAAGATAATCATTACCTTTTTTTACCATTTCATTCCCTATTTAAACCTTTTCACCTCTTCCCCAAACCTTTTTACCTTCCTCCAATCTTCTCTCTCTCTTAAAAAAAAACAGAAAACCCTAGAATCCTAAACTTCTTCAATGGCGGCATCACTGTTCACCTTCTCCTCCACTTCAAGAAGAGTCGTCCCAGCTCCAAACTCTCCTCCTCTTCCCATATACATCAAAGCCACAAACGTCGTTTTCAACCCTGATATTCCAGATGTTCATCGAGGTCTTGGACTTGATGATTTTGTCAATTTCTTAGTCTCCTGCCGACTTTGATACGCAATCAGTGACGTTCCATCAGAGTTCTTTCCGGAACAAGTATGTGAGTTCTACTACATTGCAACGATTAATGATGAAAACAACGTCATCTCCGAGACTATTGGCCGTGGCAAACACTCAGTTTTTATCACCGCTGACCTCCTCAGTGTTATGCTCAGGTTACCAATCTTTGAACCATTCTCTGAGCTTCCACCTATTGAACGCTATCGACGCGTCTTTGATCAACTAGGATATGATCACTCAAAAGTTGGTACTTGATCAACTCTTATTCTGCATCAATGTATGACTCGAGGATGGAAGTTCTTCACCGGGGCTCTATGCAAATGTGTGGGTCACAAATCTTGCAGTGGTGATCAATTGAGCACTTATGAGCAACAAGTTGTCTGTTGCCTTCTTCTCAACAAACGACTTGATTATGGGGCTTTCATTTTTGATCAGCTTGTCCAACTGCATCGTGAAAATGTACGCGCTGATCATGTCCCCTTTCCATGGTGGATTGCTCTCGTGCTAGATAAATTTTTTGCTGAAGCTTACTAATCCCACTCTGGAAGCCCCATCCAATGCCCACGCACGTCGGTCCGAAGGTATCAGGATGATCCAATGGAAATTGACATCGGCATCTCTGATCGAATGAGAGAATGGATCAAAAATCGATATACTGTTCCTTCACTAACCGCTGATACTGATGAAGGAGCTGATGGTAACAACGAAGATCATGCTGCTCAACAAGTTGAACCACAGACGGTGATAATCTCTCCCCTCAACTTTATCATCATACTCTCTCTGTTACTGAGAGAGTTCACTCAGCTCAAGGGGAGCAACCATCTTAGGGGGAGCAACCATCCCAGGGGGAGCACCCATCCCAGGGGGAGCAACCTTCTCCGGGGGAGCAACATCGCTCTCAAGAAGTTCCAGGTACTCAATTCCTTCATATACCAGCCTCAACATTTAATGAGCTTCTGACATTGACTCGGGACATGAGTCAGCGTCTTCTACGAATTGAGGCCGATGTCCATCAGCTAAAGGGAGTTCTCTTGCCAACTCCTTCCCCTGGACCACAACATGATGATGATCAAAAAGGGGGAGAAACTGATAATGATCAAAACGAGGAAGAAACTGAATCTGTTGAGCTTGGATCTGAGGATAACATTTTAAACCAGACTGAGCCACCACAACCAATGCACGAGTCTGATAGACCAGCTGCTGACGAGTCTGATAGACCAGCAGATACTAAAAAGCTTGCTGAAGATTGTGAGCATGATGATGAACATGATGGTGAGTGTCAGATGCTGGACATGAACTTCATTGATCCCAATATTCCAATTCAAGGAGAAGCCTCAGATGAGAATGAAGATGAACATGATGATGAATTTCAAATGCTAGATATGAAATTCATTGATCCCATTATGCTAGTTCAAGGAGAAGATTCAGATGTAGCTAGTGAGGATACTAAACCTCTATCTCGCAAGCGCAAGGCAGTAGATACTGAATTGGCTTCTTCACACACTGATACTTCTATGCCTAGCAGGAAACCTAATCCATCGTCAGCATATCCAACTTGGCAGTTCAAAGGAACGTTTCTCCTGAACAAGTTAAGCAAATTCTTGATAAATCCAATCAAGCTCAGCTTCTAAAGAATATTGCTCCAGCTGATGAATCTCTCATTCAGCATAAACTTCAGGACAAAGGATCCTTTGAAGCTCAAATGCAAAAATACTTAGAATATCAGTCCAAATCTAAATTTTCCCAGCCTCCTACCAGTAGCAGCATGTCAAGGACTGAAAATGTTCTCGACAGGATTGATCGCAAGAGGTTTCAATATGTTCTTAAACGACGAGTAACCAATGATAAGATCATCAAGTTTAAAGCCTCTAAACCTCGTAACGAGAAAATTCTTACTTTGCTGATCACTCGTCAAGGTCCTCAACATCCATACACTGAAGTTGTCAAGAGGGATGAGTTGATCAGATACGGATATTCTGAATGGATGGAGTTGCTCGAATTAGCATCCAAGCAAACTTCGGCTCTCTCTTCATAACTGACATGTGCTCTCCATCTACTAATCAAGAAAGTTCAGCATCTGGATCTTGTTCCTATGCAGCGTTCTCAGCAGCAAGGACAAAGTTCATCAGTTCCAAGAATCAGAAGGACCAGATTTCAAGTTGATAGTGAAGATGTGTTGGTTTTAAATTTTGGTGCTGAAGGAATAAACAACTCTCTTCGTATCGGTGTTGAGCCGATTCAACATAAGTTCATCTCTGTTCCTGAACATGGAATGTTTTATCTCGATAAAAACAGAAGAATGTGCTTTCAGCGCACCACAGAAATTCCAAGAGCTCCAACAGCACATCTTGTTGGCTTAAGAGAAATGTGAATGAGTCATCAAGATCTATCTGGAGAGTTTCACATACTGATTGCTATGGAGTTGCTGAATAGAAGACAGGAGCTGCTGGATACTCCTTACTGGCCTGTAAAAATAGAAGCTGAAGCTGAGTATGAAGAATTTTTGTCCAGAGGTGTTCTCATATAGTTGTTGTTTTGAACATCATCATATTGGGGGAGATTGTAAGGTCGAACTTTATAATATGATGACGTTTGAAACTGATCCATCAGCATCAGCGTCAACATCAACATCAATGTCAGCATACAATTTGTTCAGTATATATATTGTCTTATATGTAACCGATTTAGTATTTATCTTGTTTCCATAGTTATCATATATTAGTTAGCTGGATCATCCCTGATTTGTAGGGATTGTCTATAATAGTTCTATATAGTCTTTTGTACGGGTTTTTGAAGAGGTTGTCTTTCACAAACCCTAATAGCCGCTTTGTGCGAACAATAATCTCTTTGTGAGATTATCATTCTTAGTGAAAGCTCTTTGTGATACTTCATTGTTCTCTTCTTATTATTAGTCACTGTTTGATAAATCGATTGATCTAAGGTCATCTCAGACAGGTCAAGCACCTCTCTACAAACGAAGCAACATCCCTCTTCATACAGGGCCAACAATAATCTCTTTTCAGGTCCAAATACATCTTGGTGGCCCGGAGATGGATCGAAAACCTCGACCTGTACGCCTCCTCCATCAAAATAGCACGTGTCCCACCCTTAAATGGTACCCAAATTCGGCCCTGGAAGGTCATAAACCCCGACCATCGGCAATGAACTCAGATATCTACCTAATCAACCGCTCTCTCTTGCGGTTCTCCGGTCTCATGGCCACCACCTAGGCCTACCGAATGGTGTCCAACACCGGAGTCATCACTGTCAACCTCATACAAACATCACGTAAAGTGTCACTCTCTGCCCTGCGACTGAAGGCATGGGCTACCACGTTAGCTTTCCCCGGGTGGTACAGGATCTCACACTCATAATCCTTTACCACGTCCAACCATCTCCTTTGATGCATGTTCAGGTTGGGCTGATCCATCAGATACTTCAAGCTCTTTGGTCCATGTATATGGTACACCGAACCCCATACAAATAGTGATGCCAGATCTTAAAGGCGAACACTACAACCCCCAACTGCAAATCGTGCGTAGGGTTCCTCGTCTCATGAGCCTTCAGCAACCTCGATGCATATGTTATCACATGCCCTCTCTGCATCAGCACTGTACCCAGTCCCGATATCGATGCGTCACAATATACCACAAAGTCCTCCATTCCCTCCGGAAGGGCCAACACTTGGGATTCGCACAATCTATGGCAAAGTGTCTAAGATGAGGCCTGCTGCTCCTGGCCCCAACTGAAAACCACGCTCTTCCTGGTCAGCCTGGTGAAAGGAACTGCAATCCTGGAGAAATCCTGAATGAATCGCCGATAATATCCGGCCAACCCCAGGAAACTCTTGATCTACGAAGGGGATCTCGACACCTCCTAACTCATCACCGCCTCAATCTTGTCCAGAACGACCAATATCCTATTCTGGTTGACGAGGTGCCCTAGAAACTGGACCTCCCGTAACCAAAAATCACACTTGGTGAATTTGGCGTAAAGCCTCTCCGATCTCAGAACTCCGAGGATCTCCCTCAAATACTCCTCATGCTGCTCTCTGGACCTCGAATAAACCAATATATCATAAATGAACACGATCACCAAACGATCCAACATCAGCTTGCACACCCTGTTCATGAGATCCATGAACGTCGCCGGTGCATTGGTGACCCCGAAAGGCATCACCACGAACTCGTAATGCCCATTTACGAGTCTTGAACGCTGTCTTCTAGGTATCCTCATCACACACCCTCATCAAATGATATCCAGACCTCAAATCAATCTTGTAAAACCAAGACTCTCCCTGCAACTGATTGAACAAATCATCGATCCTCGGTAAGGGGTAACGGTTCTTGACCGTCAACTTGTTCAACTCCGAGTAATCAATGTACATCTGGTGTGAACCATACTTCTTCTTGACAAAAAGGATCGACACTCCCCACGGTGAGCTACTCGACCGTATAAACCCCTTCCCCAGCAGCTTCTGAAGCTGCAAGGACAACTCCTGCATCTATGGAGGTGCAAGGCGATAGGGTGCCTTGGCAATAGGTGCTGCCCCCAGAACCAAATCGATACGGAACTCCACCTGCCTCTTGGGAGGCACACCCTACAACTCCTCGGGGAAAACATCCGGGAACTCACGCACTTTCGGGACCATATCGACCGACGTCGGTCTCTCTGCATCTACTCTTGTAAATACCACATAAGCCATAAACCGACTACAACCCTACTATAGACTCTGCGTCGCTCTCGCGGCTGAACAAAATCCTGACCCAGATCGAGTACCCTTGCCATAGACCGTAAGAACTCCCCAACTAGGGTCTTGTATGGTTACCAGTTGTCGCTCGCAGTCGATGACCGTTCCAAATCTGCTCAACCAGTCAATGCCCACGATGACACAGACATCTCCCATAGCAATTGGGACCAAATCAATCGGAAACTCAACGCCTAATATCTCGAGTACACATCCTCGAATCACATCAGTGGCATACACTATTCTCTCATAAGTTATGGAAACTCGCAAAGGTCGACTCAACGCCTCACGATGAAGACTGATGTGCTGACTAAAGGATAATGACACAAAAGACCGACTCACACCCGAGTCAAATAACACCAAAGCAGGAACAGAACACACAAGAAATGTACCTACGCATATCACAATATAGGCATAATACCACAAACTCAGAATTAACTTATGAAAGAATACATACTAGCTAGAACATCGGGTGCTGCGCGGACCTCCTCCGCTGTCAACTGGAAGG